AAAAATAAAAAATTTTTTACTAGAGTTCATTATTTATTTATAATTTTTTTATTTTCCTATGAATATTTTTAATAAAAAATAAAATGATTTTAATAAAAAAAATTAAATAATAATTATAAAAAAAAAAAAATCAAATAAGCCTGAGCTCGAGCTCGCCAAAATAGCTCGAGCCAAAAAAAAATGGCTCGATGAGCTCGATCTCGAGCTCGAGCTCGAGCTCGGCTCGTTCCCACCCCTAATTTCACCATACCTCAGGGGGTGGATGTAATTTACCCTTATAACTATTTCTCTCAATTGTGAATGTTTTTACAAGTCCATCCTTATGGTATCAAATTAAACATAATGTTTTAGATTCCGTGAAATATATTCTCTACTTTGTACTCGTTTCTTGCAAAAATGCAGTTTCTGATGCACCACAATCTACAAGACAACATACACATCATATGATCGTCTTTTTCCAAATCCATGTGGAGCTCGAGTGAGATAAAACGGGTACAACTGGAGAATATGCCACATAATCTAGAAGATTCCAGTAAATTTGACGCTGCAATAATATACGTGTAAGAAGATTATAATTATTAAAAAAAATGAGAGGTTTTTTGGTAATTTAATATTACATCGGGTGTGGCCATAGTTTATCCGAAATTAGTTATTTAAGTCTTCTTTCATATGCTTGTTGGGCCTAACGTTTGGGCCTTATATTCAATAAACCTATTAGATCGGTTTGATAGTTTGTGATTGGGCCGGAAATTGGAATTAAAAAAAAATAATTCTATGGGTTTTAATAAAAATAAATAAATAAATGAATTTTGCAACAATATTTTTATCTCAAATTCCGAAACAAAAATCGATAAATGATTTTTTTTTGAAGTTTTTAGATCAAAATTGGAATATATAATGTGATCGATTTTGAGGAAAAAAAATCTTTAAAAAAATAGAAAATAGAAAATAAATAGGTACACGTAAATCGTAATATGAGTATTACTTATTTTTTATTAAAGTAAAAAGAAAAAAAAAACAATATATTCAATACATATAATTATATAATTTCTAAACTGCTCCTGAACAAAATCAATGATTCGCCTTTCATTTTTTTCCTAGAAAAAATCTTAGATGATCCAAAAGTATGAATAATTTTCTTGTTCTACATGCATGAATGATTGAGCAATGGTGAAAAATGATAGAGTCAATATTTTATTTTTATTTTTTATTAAATTAATTAATTAATATATTTATTAATACTTGGTTCACTGCGCACATGCACATGGGATGTAATGAAATTTCTTGGTCAAAATTGTGGCCCATTTATTTTGCAACTTTTATATATGTCTCACTTTGGGGTAGTTGAGCCACACTACATGCTGATGATCAATATTCTTGTCTTTTTTTTTTCCCAATTTTTTTAATAATGTTTGTTTATAACTATGATTAGTGGATAATTACTGTCAGAATCAAGATTAATTATTTGGAGTTGGCATTAATGTATTGTTATTGATAATAGGAATGTGATAAATGTCGTTTCAGCTAAAATAATATCGCGATTTTGAACATTTTTTAGTTCGAATTTGATAAAACCCAAGGCACGGAGTTCGTAGTTCCTTGAATTAGCCTTCTAATTCAACTTGAATCGTCATGATTGAATTTCGGATTAGAAATTTATCCATGAATAAATAAAACACCGCCTTCAATTTTGAGTTATGTAAAATTCAAAATGTAATTCATTCATGCATTAATTTATCATCTAACATCAAATTTGACTGATTCAAGTTGGATTAGAAAGCTGAAACAACTGATTACATATTCCATGTTTTGCCGTTTTGCCAAAATCAAACTAGAAAATTGTCGAAATTACGTTCATAGTCAAAACGGTATTAGTTAAATTGAAACGACATTTAATATTATTATTGAATAAATATATTTTACACATTTTGGTTCAATATAATTTTAAAGACATGGGCCGGTGGTAATAAACAAGAGGATGCCATGTGCTAATATTGACTAATTAATGTTAAAGATAATTAATTAAAAAATTAGTGGAATTGTTGGATTTAGCAAAATCTATTTTCCTACATTATTAAATGCAATAAATTTAGTAGGCAAAGTAAGTATGATCGTTTGTTTTTTTCAATTATTTAATTGAATATATTAAAATGTTACAATTTCTTGAATAATTATTAATCAATCTTAAATTGAATATAAGTCACAAATCAAAATTAAAGGTCTTATTGATCAAACTTTATCTGATTATTTATTTTTTATTTTGTGGTTAGTTATTTTATCACCTGAGTATATTAAATTAATTATATAAAATTTAAATCCACAAAAATTAAATTTAGATTAGACAGTGGACCAAAATTTAATCACAATAATAAATACATAGGACTTTTTTTTTTTTTGACTAAAAATACATAAGACTTTTAATCAGTTTATTTTGCAGTATTTTAATTCTAAGTGGGATAGCACATCAGTATCATTGAGCCAAAGGAAAATGTGAAATGGAAATAAATAAATAAAATAAAAAAATAAAGAGAAATAAATAAATAAAACTTTCTTGGACCATAACTCTTGTTTGGACATCCTTGTCAACCATAGACAAAATCACATAGATCCTAATTTCTCTCACTAGGAGTAGAAAATTCGAACACATTTCTCGATTTCGATCCGATAATTTCTAATTTCGGGATAATTTTTTTGGTCCAAACTTCAAAAGCTATGATTTTTAATTTTCAATCTTTTTAGGATCGAAAATTGTAATATATATGAGATTCTGATCATATTTTAATATCTGAAAATTCCACAAATTACATATATATTTCATATCATAAGTGAAACAAACAATTTTTTTTCTTCTTTATTTCGTCGATTTTGATTTGAAAAATCTTAACTTTGGTACAAAAAAATTCATTCAAATTCCCTAAACTCCAATCTGGGCTTTTTCAAATTTTTGTTGGAACAAAATTGAAATTGATTTTTCATTTCAAAAAAAATTGTTTCTTTTCTTTTCCTTTTTTATCGAAACTATTAATTACGAGTAGTTCGATTTCCACCCCTACCCTCGTAAAAATAAATATAGTTTTAAGGGTTAGTTATTAATCTTTCTCCATTAACTTTGCTTAGATCAAACAGAAATCCACTAATTAAAAAAATGAAAACACTAATAAATGTACAGTTTTTGTCATCTTTAATTTACCATCTTCAATTCAAAATGATGAAACGAACCAAAGCCTGAAAAAGAATAAAGAACCAACTTTTATTTCAAAATCCAAAAATACCATTAACAAAAACCCTTTCTCTCTCTACCTCTAAAATTTCCAGAGGTAGAGAGAGAGAGAATTGTTAATAAAGAAGAAGAACAATCACAATCCAAAGCATTCTTTGAAAACGACCCACTAAGAAAGCAAGAATTTTTCCAGGTAATGAAATAAAAATTCAATCTTGATTCTTAAGTATGACATAATATATATATATTTAACCTAATCCCCCCTAATATTATTTTAATTTTTCAAACCCCTTACTTAGGAAACATTCATGAGAATCAAGACATTTGACAGTCTGTACTCTTTAGCTATGGACCACAAAAACAAAACCCTTTGTAAAGATTTAATTTTTATTTTCTTTTTTTTTTTTTATAATTTTTTTTTTTTGCATAAAGTACTCATCAATGCATGAGACAAAAGGGTGGCCACAATATATGATTGGGGTTAATAATATTGCCATTGTCATTGACTCCCACACATCACACAAAAGAAATTCTCAAACCCTTGTGTATAGTTTTGTGAATTTTTCTGTTTTTCTTCCAAGAAAAAAGGGGGGTGGATTGATCTTGATAATGGATCTTGAGGGGGTGATTGTGTAATTACTGTAAGTTTTGGGGTGTGTGTTGAGAAAATGGGGACAATGGAGAGTGGAGTTGAGGAGAGGATCTATGTGTCGGTGAGGTTACGACCGTTGAACGGTAAGGAAATTCTGAGGAACGATGTTTCGGATTGGGAATGCATCAATAACGAGACGATTATTTACAAGAATTCCGCTCTCTCTGCCTCGGAGAGATCAATGTACCCCACTTCGTATACATTTGGTGAGTGTGATTTTTTCGGGATTTCGGGTTTTCGAATTTTGTTTAATTTGACTTTGATTGATGATGGTGGTGTTTCAGACAAGATCATAGTATATAGTGTACCGTTTTTTTTAAGCTTTTGCGGCAAGCAATTGTGAAAGAACAATGTTTTGTTTCGTAATCTTCGACTTTGATTTCAATTTAGTGTTTTTTTTTTCTTCTTTTTTTTTTTTTTTCCGGAAAATAGATAGAGTATTCAGAAGTGGTTGCTCGACGAGAGAAGTGTACGAACAAGGAGCTAAGGATGTTGCGATTTCGGTTATTAGTGGAATCAATTGTGAGTATAGTTTCTCTCTTTTCTAATTTCTTTTGATTTATATAACATAAATAGATACTATTTATTCGAACAAAAGATTATTTTTTATTTTTGGTTGTAGCAAGTGTTTTTGCATACGGACAAACGAGCAGCGGAAAAACGTACACGATGACTGGAATTACTGAATACGCGCTAGCTGACATATATGGATACATACAGAAGGTAAGATTAAACGGTACTTCATTTTTTTCGTTTTTTCGCAAATTATGCTTATTTTTTTCTAATAATCGAGAGATTTTTCAGCATCAAGAACGAGATTTCGTGTTGAAGTTCTCTGCTATGGAGATCTACAACGAATCGGTGAGAGATCTACTCAGTGTAGATAACACTCCACTAAGACTTCTCGATGATCCCGAGGTGAATTCTTTTTCATTGACAAGCGATTTTGCTCGATTCTTTTTTTTTTTTTTTTTTTTTTTAGTATTATTTTTTTTTCCGATTTCGCTTATCGGTACGCATTTCGATAGAGAGGAACCATAGTCGAGAAGCTGACAGAGGAAATTTTGAGGGACTGGAGTCATGTGATCCATCTCCTTTCTATATGTGAAGGTAAGAAATAAGAAAACTGATATATTTAATTTGTAATCGAAACGACTGTTAGATTTCTTAAGGCCTCGTTTGGGAACATTCGATAAAGCTTGATTATATCGTCTATCACGCCTAATCACGATTCCCAAACATTACGGATTTATCATCATTTTGTCAATCCTTGCAGCTCAAAGACAAATTGGAGAAACGTCGCTTAATGAAATGAGCTCGAGATCTCACCAAATTATTAGATTGGTATATTGTGATTTTATTTAATTTATTGTTTATTTATTCGATAACTTTTGTTAATGAACAATGTGTTTTGTCGCAGACTATTGAAAGCTGTTCTCGTGACTTTTTAGGAAGGGACAACGCGAGCACTCTTACAGCTGCTGTGGTATGGAATTTATCTAATAACAAAAAAATAATTGCATAACATTATTTAATGTTTTTTAATTGGAAAATTAATTTTATCGATAGAATTTCGTTGATCTGGCTGGAAGTGAACGAGCATCTCAATCGTTATCAGCTGGCACAAGGTTAAAAGAAGGCTGCCATATTAACCGCAGTTTGCTTACACTTGGTACTATTATTCGTAAGCTGAGGTAAAGATCACATTTTTATCAACATATCGTTTTTTTTCTTTTTTTTTTTTTCGGGTTTTCGGGTTTCAGGTTTCGGGTTTTCGAGTTTCGGGTTTTCGGGTTTCGGGTTTAATTAAAATAAACGAACCCCAATTGAGATTTAGTTTTATATATCATTTATTAAGCATACTCCATTTTACTTGTACATATATTTTCATGACTATATGTATATATAAATGTGTATGTATATGCAGCAAGGGTAGAAGTGGACACATTCCTTACAGAGATTCGAAGTTAACTCGAATTCTTCAGACATCGTTGGGCGGAAATGCAAGAACAGCCATTATATGCACAATGAGCCCTGCACGAACTCATGTGGAGCAATCGAGGAACACGCTTTTGTTTGCATGCTGTGCGAAGGAAGTTACTACAAATGCCCAAGTTAATGTAGTTATGTCGGATAAAGCTCTCGTCAAGTATTTGCAGAGAGAGCTCGAAAGAGTCGAGAACGAGCTCAGAAGTTCCCAAATTACCACTTATGCCCCTCCGACAAATTATTCCGCAGTTCTTAGAGAGAAAGATCTTCGAATCGAAAAGGTACCGAATTCTGGATGTTTCTTCAATCTCCGTTTTTCATTTCTTGGTTTTGTTTTATAAAAGCGAGTGTTCTTGAATTTTATCAACTTTGAGCTTCTACTTAAGTTCGGGTTCCGTTTTTTTTATTTTAGCTTGAGGAGGAGATTAATGATCTTATTCTGCAAAGAGATATTGCTCAATCACAAGTCAAAGATTTATTACAAATGATCGGAGATAATGCCAGTCCCAGAACACCGGTAACTATTTCATTAATCTGTGTGTGTGTGTGTGTGTGTGTGTGTGTGTGTGTCTCTCTCTCTCTCTCTCTCTCTCTCTCTCTCTCTCTCCATGTTCACATCTTTCTTGATTTTGTTTATCTAGGTTGGATCTGAACACTACCCTCACTTACGAGTACAAAAATCACCTGACAGTGAAACCACAAAACACGAGACACCATCTATTTCAGCAGATCCTCATTCCTCGGATATCGAAAACCGGACATGTTCAGACAGACACAGCAGAACAAGTTCAGAAGAACATTTCGCAAAAGTCCCGTATTTTGACACTCACAATAACACATCATCTCCGGGAATCGTAACTTCTGACTTGAGCGAAAGCTACTCATATAACGGCTGGGAAGAAATTGAAAAACAAAGCAACGGAACTTCTTCAGAGGATCTCTGCCGAGAAGTTCGTTGCATCGAAGCTGAAGAAGAATCGAGCAGCAATAACAAAGGCACTATCGAATCCAATCACTTAATTTCCGAGCAAATTACGGAAGTGCCATCAACTCCTTTACAAAAAGATCAAGTCTTTACATCAACTCCTTTAGAAAAAGATCAAGTCTTTACATCACCTCCTTTAGAAAAAGATCGAGTCTTAAAATCACCTCCTTTAGAAAAAGATCGAGTCTTAAAATCACCAACTTTAGAAAAAGATCGAGTCTTTACATCACCTCCTTCGGAACACGACACTAATATCAAGGAAGAGATGGGACCCACGAAGGAAGATCAAGAACCGAAACACGAAGAAGAGTCATCGCCTCCTCTATACAAGAAAGAGAGAGAATTTAACCCGATTCGTTTTCTTGATATTCCATCTCTCGAGAATCGATCTTCGGCAAATGGTGAACTCGATCGTAAAAGTTCATCCGTAACTAGAAGCTGGAAGTTGACTAGAAGCAGAAGCTGCAAAGCGAGTATTATTGCTGACTCAGCTTCTTCTTCTTCGTTTTTCAAAATGTTGGATTTCGGAGATAATACATCGTCTTTTGGATCGGAGAGGGAATCAATGGCTTTTGAACGGAAACTATCTCCACTAAGCTTTAGTCCCAATTATGTGCAAAGTAAAGATTCTGATTCTTCACCTGGGAATGCTCTTGATATCGAGATCGACACCCCGAATGTGAAATTTGAATCTGCCGATGATGATGTCGTCATCAGCAGTACTGCTGACATCAGCGAAAAGGCCGAGCTTCCAGTTGAACACATGTGTATCAAGAATCCAGTGAGTTCTGTTTTTCTTTCTCATATGCTTGTTGTGTTACATTTTGTTTTTGGATCCGGAATTAAAAAAAAGAAGCTTTATTGGGTTTTAGGTTTATTGCATTTAGCACCCCCTATGTTTACTCTAATTGTCAAAAAACTCCCTGTATTATACAAATTAGCAAACCCCCCCCCCCCCTATGATTCAATTTTATTAGCAAGCTACCCTCTAAGAACGCACCATTTACATGCTCGTTTTTTGCAGTCGAAGGATATTGATCCAACGGCCGACGATTCTCCGAAGAAGAAAGTAAAAAACATTGGATTGGATCCGATCGAAGATGAAGTCAAAGATCTTTCGAGCTGGGATTTGGAGTTCAAAAGACTACAACGAGAAATAATCGAACTTTGGCATGATTGCAACGTATCCCTTGTACATAGAACTTACTTCTTCATGCTTTTTCAAGGTGACCCGTCGGATGCAATATATCTACAAGTAGAAATGAGGAGGGTGAAATTCTTGAAGGACAAATTTTCTCGAGGAGATAAGACCGTTGTCAACGGTCGATGTTTAACACTTGCTTCGAGGTAAAGATTGCCATTTCTTTTTCTTAATTTGTTTTCTTATTGATTCTTGCCAATTTCGATACTATACATGGTAATTTTCAAACTATATTATGGTTGTTTAATTCATAGTCGTAGTGACGAAGCCAGAAGGCAACTATATACTATAAGTTCATTTGAGGGGGTGAATTTGACAATTAGGGGTGAAAGTACTGATGGAATTTTTGAATTATGCCGATTCCGATCCGAATATTTTCGATTTTGGAAAATTGTTTTTAATTCTAAGTTCCAAAACTTCCGGTTCTGATTTTTTTTCGATTTTTCTTAACAGAATTGGAATCCATTAGATTCTAGTATTTTTTTTCTTCATTTTTTTAGATTTTTTTTTAAATACTATACTATATTATTATACTACTTCAAAAATAAAAAATCTCTATATGAAAGAGTTTATTGCATTTAATACCCCTATATTATATCAAATTGCTAAAAATCCCCGTGTTATAAATATTAGAAAAAACCCCGTATAATGCATTTTTTAGCACACAAACCCCAAAAGAGTGAGCCTTTTAGGGGGTAGTTTGCAAAAGAAAAATTGAATCATGGGGGGTTTTCGCTAATAAAATAAAATGGAGGGATATTTTAACAATTAGAGAAAACACAGTGGTGCCGAATGCAATAAACCCCTATATAATATAGTAGGATTTTTTTAAGAAACAATAGGGGGGCGGGGGGCCACGGCCCCCCGTTGACCTATGCTAGCTCAGAAACTAATATATTTCTTGAAAAAAAAAAAACAGTGCAAAAGCTCTTCGTGAGGAGAGAAGAATGTTGAGCTATAGGATGATGAAGAAGCTATCGGAGCAAGAGAGAGAAAGCCTCTTCGTAAAGTGGGGCGTCGGTCTAAACACGAAGCTGAGGAGACTACAGCTGGCGCACCGTCTATGGACGAAAACCGAAGATATGGATCACATTTCAGACAGTGCGTTTCTCGTCGCAAAAGTTGTTGGTTCGATCGAACCCGGGAAGACTCATAACAAAGAAATGTTTGGCCTTAATTTCACCCCTCGAAGATCGACGAGAAGCTATAGTACGTTGAAACATAGCCTGATTTCTCTCTTGTGATTTCTTAATTTGTTAATCCTGCGTTTGGATAGGTTGTTTAACTGTTCGTTTTAGCAATCCAGTCGTGCTGGATTACTGTGGAGGATAGTATGAATAAATCAGGCTATAAGTGATTGGTGTTGTAAATTAGTATATATATATATATATGTGTGTGTGTGTGTGTGTGATATATGTAACATATTTAGTATAAAAAGACACTGATGAAGTTATATTTGGTTGTATACATTTTTGTTTTCGACTAATCCGCTTTTGTTTTGTTCGATTTCTAATTCAACCATTTGATGTGGATTAATTCGGCAACTTGGGTCGGATCCCTAAGGACAAAGGTGATAGGATTAGTCCGATGATCTAGGATGGACTCATCAAGTCCGAGGCTTGTTCGAAAGAAACTTGTGAACTCGTTGGAAGAAAGCTCGCTCGAAGTGGAAGGCCTATTACATATTTCGGTGCACATAAGAAGTAACAAGTGCGGACGTGTTGTAGTAGGAAACATTCACTGAAAATAAATCTTAGATTCATTGTTGTAGTAGTTTCTGATGCACCACAATCTGATATTTACAACCCAAGAGGCATATCATCTTATTTCAAAATGTGGAGTTCGAATGATGTAAAACGAGTACAAATTAGAGAAGATTCCATAGAGGGGTATTTTCGTAATTTAACACCGCGAGGATGAACATGTAAGAGGATTCATAGTTGAGAAGTAGTTGTACAGTTAAACCTCTATAAATTAATACATTCGGGACCAGGGAAATTCTATTATTTTAGCGAATTATTAAATTATCGAGTTAATAATTTAACACGTTTTTACCGAGTAACTATTATTTAATCGAGATTATTAATTTATCGAGTATTAATTTATCGATGTTCTACTGTAATTACCCAAACACAAGGGGTATTTTTGTAATTTAACCTTACCTCACGAACTGATTGCCGTAATTTACCCTGTAAATTATTGCTAAAGTTAAAAAGAAAAAAAGAAAAAAAAATTTAAAAAGTTGGGTTATCCATAAAATGACATTTTTTTCCTGATTAAGCACAAAGGTTAGTTTCAATGCCATCTAACGTATAAGAGCAATCTTATATCTCGTTGCAGCAGAAGGCGCACTTATATAATATTGCGGGGTAAATTACGACCACACCCCTGAGGTACGGTCAAATTACGAAACCCGCCTCATGTTTGAGTAATTACAATCATCCATGAACTATGAATTTTCTTAAACATCTAGCCTTGCGGTGTCAAATTTAGTGGAATATTCTCCAGTTTGTACCCGTTTTACCTTTCGAGCTCTACATTTTGAAACAAGGTGATCATAAGATGTATCCCTTGGCTTGTAAATATCAGATTGTGGTGCATCAGAAACTGCATTTTTGCATAAAACGACTACAAAATAGTAAACATTCCACGGAATCTAGAAGAGTTTGTTGAATTTGACATCGTACTGGTGGACTTGTAAGAAGATGATTCATAGTTGAAGGGTGGTTGTAATTACCCAAACATGTGGTTTTTTTCGTAATTGACCTTATCTCAGGGTTTTTTTTTTCGTAATTTGACCTTATCTCAGGGATTTTTTTCGTAATTTGACCTTACCTTATGAGGTGGCTTTAAATTCATAGTAGCTTTTCATTATGGTGATGTTGATATTCAATAAACACAATTAGTTGGAATGCATTTTACCACAATCAGCAAACTTTTGTGCATGAGAAAAAGACAATCATCAATCCTAATACATTTCCAGCAATTAAACATGTGTTTAGTACAAGTAAACGGCAACGTAAATGTACACGAAGTCGTCGTCGTCGTCGTTATAATTAATTATCTCGATTTTTCACCCGTATTTTGCTTTATGGTTTAGCTTGTCAAACTCTATTTAGTTACATTATTATCTTCTTGATCTTGTAATATTTTTTTTATTTTTTTTCGTTCGATGGAAAATTAATCGAGTTAAAAAAAATGGATTGTGTCGCAGTGGATGAATTAAAGCCGATTTTATTGATGTTACTATGTCAATTAGCCTCCGGGGGTGTTAACATATTTTACAAATTTGCAGTTGCCGACGGGATGAAAATCAGGATTTTGGTCGTCTACCGACTGATCTTCGCCACGGTTTTCATCGCCCCCATCGCCTTAGTCTTCGAAAGGTGGAACTTTTGAAAAAAAAATAAATTTAAAAAGTCGTTAGATATTTCGTTAAATCTCCGTAAAAAAATCGTACTTTCTTGATTTGCTTATGCAGGAAGAGTAGGCCGAAGTTCACTTGGACGATAGCGTTTCAAGCAATCACGTGCGCGTTATTGGGGTAAATAATAAAGATATCTATTTTGAAATAATGGCATTCTTGATATTTAACCATGGGATTAAATCGAAATGCAGACAAGCGTTAGCGAGCAATTTATACGCAGAGAGCCTGGTCTTAACGTCGGCAACGTACGCAGCAGCAATGGCAAATTTAATTCCAGCTCTAACTTTGCTCATGTCCGTCGTATTCAGGTAATTAAATAAAATAAATAATCCTTCAAAATATGCCAAATATTTAAAATAAATTGTTTTTTTAAATTCATACGCGCACGCGCGTGCAGGTTGGAAAAATTCGATATACGAAGATCAACCGGAAAATCGAAGGTTCTCGGAACAGGATTAGGCATAGCTGGAGCAATGATACTAACCCTTTACAAAGGAATAAAAATCGATTTCTTATCGACAAACGTAAATTTGCTAAGCCACTATGAATCAACGACACGTGTAACCGTGCACCACAATCTCGTTTCGGGCACTGCACTTGCTCTTTGCAGCTGTATTTCTTATGCAGCATGGTTAATTCTTCAGGTAATTAAATTTTAATTTATAGTTACATATTTTTTTTTTATATATATAGATAATGTTTGCTATGTTATTACAAGCAGGCTAAATTAATCGAGAATTACCCCGTATTTTCGAGCACCGCACTGACGTGTTTCAACGGAGCTGTCATAGCCGGAGTTTATTGCTTGTGTCGGGAAAGGGATTTTACCGACTGGAAACTCGGCTGGAATATCAGACTTCTTTCTGCTGCTTTTACCGTAAAACAAATTTTTTTTTTTTTTTTTTGACTTTTTTTCGGTTATTTGTATAGGTACATTGTGAATTTTTTTCGATTTACAGGGGATTGTTGGGTCGGGAATTGTGATTGCGATAACTGCATGGGGAACTTGGGTCCGGGGCCCACTATATGTATCTTCGTTTTCTCCGTTAGCTCTTATCTTCGTCGCTTTGCTTGGTTCGCTTGTTCTTGATGAGAAGCTCCATTTGGGAAGGTTATTCTCTCTCTCTCTCTAGATCTCTCTCTCTCTCTCTCTCTCTGATATTAGTCCCGGTTTTTTTTTTAGTGTAATAGGATCGGTGATCATAGTTTTGGGGTTATATTTGGTGCTATGGGGAAAATCGAAGGAGATGAAAGATAGTAGCTTGGAAATAACTGCAATTAGTGACGGAAATCAAAGAGGAGACGAAAAACCATTGTCGCCCGTCCAACAAGTGTAGTATACCGTAATCTCTATGTTCTGAAATACATATAAATAAACTACTATTTGTATTCAGTTTGTTTCAATTTTATAAGTTTATTTTCTTCGACTGGAAACTATAACAAACAAAATATTTCTATTGCAAAATGAGTAAATTAAGAGAGCGACGAAATGGAAGTTCGACTACGTTACCACTAACATTGTTCTTTTTTAAGGGAATGATCAAAAACAGCCCTAAAGTAACGCGGAAGAACAGAACAACGAAAAAAATACAATGAAACTAATTAACGACTAGTAAGTCCAGCCGAGTATTAAGTTCGTATCGATTAATTTAATGAATTTTTAAAACCATAATTTGAACAATGGTTTCTTCTCCTCGGTTTTCGCTTCCTCGGTTTTTGCTTCAGTCTGATCGGCTTTCTCTTCTGGTTTTTTTCCCTCGGTTTTCGCTTCCTCTTTCGTTGCAGTCTGCTCGGATTTCTCTTCTGGCTTTTTTTCCTCGGTTTTTTCTTCTACCTTCTCTGTTTTCTCCAATCCTTCAGGCTCGGATTTCTCCGATGCCTCAGGCTCGGATTTCTCCGAAGCCTGAGGTTCGGATGTGTCGGATTTTTCAGGTTCGGATGTGTCCGATGTCTTAGGTTCGGGTTCGTCTGATGATGTCTCGGATGATTTCTCTTCTGCTTTGTTATCATCAGATGATTTTTCGACTTCTTCTTTTTCTTTTTCGTTTTCGTTTTCGTTTTCGTTTTCGTTTTCGACATCGTTCGACGGTGATTGGACAACTGAATCGGCAGCAACTGGTTCCGGAGATTCTTTCGACTTATTTTCAGTTACTGCTTCTGCAGCTGCTTCATCTTCTTGTTTTACTTGCTCTGATTTGTTCTCAGTTAAGCTCTTCTCTTCATTCTATTTAAAAAAAAAAAGAAATTATTCATCAACATTTTAAATTATGGAATATTATTATAACAGAAAAAAGAAATAATTCAAAATAACTAAATATTTATATAATTTGATTCAAACAAATTCAATAATTTATTTTATTGGCATTATTATTTCTATATCAATAGTAAGAGAAATTTACAATTTTAATCCCTCAAGTTTGCATTGATTTTACATTTGATCCCTCGTGTTCTCAAAAAAATATATTTGATTCCTCATGTTTCAATAATTTAACATTTTTGGTCATTTCTGTCAATTTACTGTTAGTTCGTTACTTAATGCAGTCATTGGCACACGCTTGATCCCGTTAGTACTAATAGAAAATTGACGGAAATGACTAAAATATTGAATTTTTGAAATATGGAGGACCAAATATATTTTTTTGTGAACATAGAGGACCAAATATGAAACCGGTGCAAACTTGAGGGATGAAAATTGTATTTCTCCCAAAATAGTAATATAGATTATATAATGTATGTAAAGTTTACCTCTTTAAGCAAGTCAGCACCAAGCGATTGGCTCTTGGCTTCATCATCGTCCACCACCACAGCCGGCGCCGGCGCAGACGCCGGCGGAGCTTCCTCCTTCTTGATGACCTGGGTGTCTTCCCTCGGCGGAGAAGGAAGCGGCGCGTCGAAGTCGTCGTCCTTCAGCACCTGAGACCTCGAAGTGCAAGCTCCCATTTTCTCTCACAAGCGTTTTCTTCTCTCTCTCTCTCTCTCTCTCAAGCAAATGGAAGCTCTGAGTTTTCTAGAGAGAGAGAGTAGAGAGAGAAAGCTATAGAACGCAGAGTGGGAAAATAGGAAGATAAGAACGGCGATGAGAGAGACGAGGAAGAAAGAGATGTAGAGTGAGAAATTTATATAGAGATTCAAAACGCCGTGGCCGGTGGTGTAGCGCCGGTGGTGCAGCATTTGACTTTTTCTCCGCCACCCATCGTTTCTATTTTCTTTCTACAGTTCGGAGAAATTCATGTTTGACCGCTCGCTTAAAACCACCGGTCCTCCAACGTTGACTCACACAATTCCAATTATTTCCCATTAAAAAGGAAAATAAAAAATAAAATATATCTATTTATAAAGGATTTCAATTTGGGTAAATTACAACCACACCCTTAGGTATGGTCAAATTACGAAAACTCTCCTCCTGTTTGGGTAATTACAACCATCCACCTCAACTATAAATCTTCTTACACGTCCACCCTTGCGGTTTCAAATTTAGTGGAATATTCGAGATTATATGGAATATTAACATTTTTGTACTCGTTTTATCCCATTCGAACTCTACATTTTGAAGCAAGATGATCATAATATGTGTTTTTTGGCTTGTATATATATCAGGTTGTGGTGCATCAGAAACTGTATTTTTACACAAACGAGTACAAACTAGAGCACATTTCACGAAATCTAGATGATTATGTTGAATTTGATACCATAAGAGTGGAGGTGTAAGAAAAAATCATAGTTGAGGGAGATAGATGTAATTATCCAAACAAGAGGGGTTTTTTCGTAAATTGACCATACATCAGGGGGAGGTTGTAATTTACCCTTTTAATTTTAATTTTTTTTTTTGGAAAATAGTAATTTTACATATTAAGTTATTATTAACTTGTTATTGATCATGGATAAATAGTTTGAGAAACCTTTATCTAGTACATTTAAACTATATATTTTATTACTATTAAACCGATCGAGGGAGTTTCAACTTAGATGTTACATCGGGTAATTGTTATTCGTCGATGGGGTTACATAATCAGCCACTGAGCTCACATCCACATGGATATGTGTGATTACGTGCATATCTATGATATACAATAACCTGATATAGCATCTAATTTTCGATTTTATACGTAAATGCTAATTAATGCACTCTATTATGATATTAAAATTCCTAGTACAATATATCATACATAAACTTTTGATACTAAAAAAAAAAAGATAAAAAACTCTACTAAGTTCAATCGAACGCGAAACAATTGTACGGCGAGTAAAATCATCTGCGATCGAAATCGAACTGAAATTTATCAATATCTTCGACTATCGATTATACGTGAAATTACTTAATTAACCCTGTGGAGTACTATTAATCACTTCCTTTGTTCCTTTCTCAACATCACAAAATTGTGTTTGACAAGATGCACTAGTTTTTTCCATTTCTTCCTCCTTAGCCTTTCCCAATAGCACAAAATAAAGCCCTCCAACCAGTAATATTGCTCCCAAAACACTGTCACATTAAATCAATTTAATTCAATTTAATTAAAATGAAAATAATTAAGGTAATTAATAATAAATAATTAATAATTAATAAATGATAATTACCTCCCAAAACTGATAATCTCCCCCAAGAAAAAAGCAGATAAAATAATAGTGAAAACCATGATTAGTGGAGTTGTCATGGCTAAGAAAACTGGACCTTTCTTCTCAATAACCCATGTTTGTAGGTAAAATGTAAGACCAGTCACCACTATTCCCTGTCACACAATTTTATTTAATTATTTTGTTAGTAATAAATTAATTATGTCCTAATTTATTTTTTGCATGTAATAATTAAATTAAAATAAAATAAAATACTTACACAATAAGCTACAGATAAAAGCCTGATATTCCAACCAAGTAGCCATTGATGAGGATCTCTTGTGACAGAAGCAGCAACTATGAATGATTGAATTGTGCTTAGAAAGCATTGTAGTGTTGTCAATAGCAGCTTTGATGGGTATTCTTTTAGTACTCTTCCCTATATTTATTTATATATTTATTTATTAATTACCATAATTAATATGAGAAAAAATTAAATTAAATTGAAGTTTTATAAGTGAAAAAAATAAAAAAATAAATCTATAGATAGATATATAATGTTGCATTGATATTTAAATTGAACTATAAGTTACTCAATATATATGTCGTCGTCAAAAGGGCGTTTGAGCCCGGTTAATTCTTTAATATAATTAAACAATCGAGTTTAATTTTTTTTTTAAACACGTATTTCTCACTTGAGCTTGATTTGTGTTTGGCTTGATATCATGTTATAAGTCGTTATTTAAGTTCGATAATATAATATATGCCAACTACCCGTCCGGCCAACGCAGAATG